AACGGATATTCGGCGGATATTCAGTGGATATTCAGCGGATATTCGGTGAATGACCAATTATCCGGGTGTTGAATTCTGTTGACTGACCAATTATCCAGATGTTGAGTTTTATTGATTGACTAATTGCTCAAACACCCGGATAATCAACGGATACAACCACTAATTAATATGCTATCGAATTTCTGATAAAATTTGATATTACTAAGGCTCAGCCAATTTTCGAAGCTTGAGTCATGAACAATAAAACTTATCGGTTAAATTTTTTAAAATGAGATGTTTTTTTTTGTTTTAGTAATTTGAAGTTGTCCAATTGTTATTATAAGCAATTAATGATTTCACTTTTATTTTAACTTATATATTAATAACATCACCATGATAAATAATTAAATGAATAAAGTCAGAGATAACACCTTTTAATTTAATCATTATTGTTGCTTGTTTATTATTTTAATCGTTATTTATGTATATAGGTAAAGAAAAATTTTAATACACTGCCTGAAAGAAAGTATCGGAACCTCATTATTTATTAATTATACAAAAACCTACATAATAATTATAAATAAAATTTATATCATCATGTAGCCTAGGTCTTGAAAAATATTTATATAAAATTCCACGCCTTTATCATTTATATTTATTTTTTGGTTTAAAAAAAAACAAATTTCAATTAAATGAAAAAAAAATAATGACAAATCATCAAAATTTTAAAAAAATAGAAACAAAATTTAGTATTTTGTCGGCCATCCATTATTGGATATGCATGCCTCGATTCTTCTTGACGTGCTTTCGATTAGTTTGTTATAACTTCTTCAGGAATGTTAGACCATTCCTCTTGCAATGCAATATCCGATTCTTGAGCTTTTTTAATCTTCTTTCCAACTCATCCCAAAGATGCTCAATTGGATTGAGATCAGGAGATTACGATGGCCAATTAAACAAAATGTTTATGTTGTTATTTCTTATCCAAATTTGCAAATTTTTTGCGGCATGCATTGGTGTATTGTCATCCTGAAATTTGTATGCTCTACCACCAAATTTTGTTCTTATTAAAGGCAACGAATTTCTTAATCAATTTTTTATTGCTGTTTAATAACAAACTCTTTACCGATAGAAAAGACATAAAATTTCGACTAATCATATTTTAGGACTTAAACTACGAAATAACAGTAAAATTCTGCGAAAATACAAATTCAAAAAATGAAGTTTTTTTTTTTAACCAAGAAATAAATAAATATGAATGATAGAAGCGTGCAATTTTATATAAATGACCTAAGTTACACGATGATATAAATTTTATTATCCCTTAAACGGTTAACTAATAAATTTCGGATTTTTTATTGGTAACACGAAATTTCAAATTTAAATGTATCACAAAATTTATTGTGCACAAAAAAATCAAAAAAAAACTAAACTACTTGATTTTTTTAAAATCCCGCTTCGCTTCGTTTGCGCACATTTGTGATGAACTGCGAATTTTGCTTTAACTCGAATTGGTAAGTCAAGATTTTTATCTCGTTTTTTTTTGACTAAAAAATATAAAAGAACGTGCGCGTGTGCCTTTTTTTGTTATTTTAATTTTTGTATATATGAATTCAATTTGTAAAATGTTTCGTTTCCTTGTAAATTCAATTATGTCTGTTTTTAAAGGAAAAAAATTTGAATTGGAAATTAAAAATTTGCTGAACAAATATAGAATAAATCTTGTGAGAACAGAGTGAGTATTTTTTTGCTCACTAAGTAATTGTCGAATTATTATATATCTGAAGTTACGCTGCTACTAGGATTTAAATGAAAAGAAATTGAAAGCGCTTTGTGGCCACAACTTGTGAAAGTTACCAGTTGGGTAACCAGACCTGATGTACGGTGGATGACCTGTTTGTTCTTTCTTTCATCCGAAAAGCTGCTGGCTGCAGTGTCAGAGCTGTAGTGAATAGGATGTATGAAAAAATTTAAAATCTCATCGTGGCCGTAACTTGTGGATAACTTGTTATGAACGTTTATCTTGCTTCTTGATAATGATGAAACAATACTTATTTTTATATATGTATATATATTTGTTTTTTAGGTCCTCTGGAGATGGTGGAGTTGATTTGTTGGGAGTGTTTGTTCACGAGGATGAAAAATATGTCTTGGTTGTTCAGTGCAAGGTAAATATGTTATTTAATATATGTGTATTATTAAATATATTTTTAATATATGTATGTATTATTAAATATATTTTTTAATTTATAGCATGCAAAATCCTTTCCTCATGTTGTTCGTGATTTAAGAGGTGTTATGGCTATATACCCAGATTATACATCAATTGGTATTTTAGTCATTAATTCCGAACATGACATTAGTAATCGAATGAGAGAAGAAGCTAGGTCAGCATCATCTAATATCATTGTATCAGATGAAATTAGCATATATGATGATTTAACTCGCTTTCTTGTATATCTTAAACAACAAAAAGCTCTCAGACATTTAAGAGAAAAAGAGGCATCGAGGAAAGAGATAGGAGAAGACATGGAGAAAGAATTGTCGAAGAAAATGATGGATGAGTTGAGGGAGATGTATATAGAACTAAAGAGGATGCATTTAGAAGAAAGAAAATTAATTTTAGATCAGGGGAAACGAATTGATTTTTTATTTTTATGTAATTTTATTTTTTTATTTATTATATTAATTATATTATTATTATTATAAAAGAGGATGCATTTAGAACAAAGGAAATTAATTTTAGATCAGGGGAAATGAAATGATTTTTTTTTATATATATTTTTATTATTATCCAAATAAATTTTATATATATAGTTATTATGTAGGTTTTTGTGTAATTAATAAAAAATGAGGTTTCGATACTTTCTTCCAGGCAGTGTATTTATTTTTAAAATAAATGATTTTACTATAAAAGACATACATAAGTGATCAAAAATCTGTAAATATTCATAATAATGTAATATTTGAACATTTATTTCCACTTGAACTTACAATTGGACGCGTCGAACAAAATTTTACATATATGTATATAAAGGCAAAATTCGACTTTGAGGGCCAGATTATTTTCGGTTTTATTAACAACCTGCTTTAAAAATTTTCTTAAAGCAGATACATATGATAAAGAAGTTATATCTCCAATCTGGTAGTGATTGCTACACAGCAAGGGTACCAAACGAGGGTGTGAAGACATTCGATTATAAAATTTACTATGATGCGACTATTATTATAATTGATTTAACGGAGTTGAACGGATAGTCGGATAATTTATGATTAGATAGCATATTTTGTTAATATCAAACGGACGAGCCAAAAAACTAGTCGGATATCATTAACATTGATTTCTTCGCCATTATCACCCTCCACCTCTTTATTTGTTTTTTTCTTTGTTAACCCATCCCCTGAGAGTGAGAGAGAGCCCTGTTGTTTTCTTGATAGTGGAAGCAAAAACTCTTTCTCCTTTCCAAGTAGTTTGCGGGTTTCAATTACCATTTACTAGAGGAAATTTCAGTCTAATCGACCTTTTATCAAACAGTTCTTCCACGTATCTTTGTTCACCGATTGGTTTGCCTGATTTGCATTTCGTTTCAATCTCTCCGGTCCTATATATTATTAAATTAATTATTTTGTCTATTTTTTGATTTATGTTATAGAGCTGGTTACATAGAGGATTTATAGCGAAGGAAAAACTAAACAAAAGTCCAATCCACAAAAAAATTTGCTGGTAAAGTTAAACAATTTTTATTAAATGATGGAAGATTAAATCCACAAAATATGTTTGAAATATTCTATTTTTATTTGTGTATAATATTTACAAAAACAAACAAATTCTAACTCAATGAATTAAAAATCTCTCAAGTGTATTTTAAAAATATGTAAATTACAACGGCTTAGTATAAAATTCCATCATTATCAATATTGTCATGATTATTTTCGCAGTCCTTTTCCGCCCATTTTTTATCAACTTTTAGAGAATTCCAAACATCATCAATTACGAATCTTGGTCCACCCAATACAGATGATCTTTCAGATTCTACCATCATAGCTTTAACATTGCATAAACTTCTAAAGGCCAACATCCAACAACACTGTCCAGTTTTTTTTTTAAAAAATGTATTCATGTAAAGAGCGCATGATTTCAATTGTAATTCAAAAATTGCGTGTGGGTTTCCAAAATTTTCACGAGAGGTGTACCTTAATCTATCACTTTTGTATTGGTCGAGTGGTGGATTTGAAATAAATCTACTTAAAAATTCATAATCAATGCTAAAATCTCGAGGTCCATTTTTATAATTAAATGATTTTTGGTTTTTGTTTTTCGACGATGATGTTTTCTTTGTTGTTGACGTAGACTCTGTAGCTGTTGGATCCTCTTTTTCACCATTTATTTTCTTGGAATATCCGGAATTATAATCTTGAAGCAATTTACGCGTAAAACGTTCAATTAATAATAGATCCGAACTATATGCTCCACCATCATTGACTTTTTTGGAATGTTCTATTTCTCTAATCCAAAACAATCGAATATGTGGATCCATGCTATCTACTTGATTACTTGCGACCGAAAAATCTTTGCTTCTAATAATACGTTTTTCCTCTTCAATAGTCATGTACAACATATCCATTACACTTTTATCTTCGTTAGCTTCCGCATCACCTTCCTCGCCTCCTTTCTTTAATGAATCATCATTCTCCATCCATTTTGGTACTGGAAGCTGATAAATACTATTTTGGTCGGCTTGTAAAACACCATGTTTCAAATTTAACCCCTGCTTAGTTGCATCGACGAGCTGAGCAAACATTTGAGAAAAATAAACGGACTTTGGGTCCGAGATGCCATGTTTATTGGAATAAATTCTATGAAACCTATCATATAATCCCAGTGGATTTTCACGATCTTTAAAATGGACATCAAGAATTAACTCTTGCAATTTTCTTGTTTTTGATTGCTTCTTGTGCTTTGTTAATTCTTGTATCAATTTAGTGTTATTTTTATCAAATGATTGCGTAACACTCGGCTCTATAGGTAGTAAAGTTGAATTATGAAATGAGTTTACGATATTCGGATCCCAACAGCAAAAGATCTTTTATCCAGTACAAAACATTATTAATATTATTAATAAATATTTTTAAAAATTATATGTAATATAATAAATGATGCACATACCTTGTCTCCATCATAGTCACCGCCACTCAAATGATTTGCCATAGAACTTTCTTTTGGGTTAACATTGGTTGGAAATACTACTAAATTGTAATAATTATTCAAGTGTGGATTTCTGACGGCCTTAACCTTCAAAATGTCCGATGGTAGTGAGCAAGGATTTCTTGCTAGAATGACATCACCTTCGATGACATAAAATGGTAAACCAGTTCTTGGATCTATGCCAGCATTACGATCTAATTGAATATATACCTCCCCTGGTTGTAATGTATGAGTTGGATCAGCTATACAGACAAGTGTTCTGGATAATGCAACTTCGATTTTATATTTATTCAGCAATGGGTCTATAGTATAAGATAAGACCTCCGTTAGTTTTTTTGCAAGGAATGAGCACGTGGAAGGAGTGAAACCAGCATGCAACATTTGGACACATTGTTCGTGTATCGAATCTGGCATTCCAGAAAGCTCTTTTAATTCTGATTCGAACGTTGTCAAATCATCCTCGGAAGTGATCACTGACGAGATGTCATTACTGTCTTTAGTAATACATCTCTCATTTAATCTTTTCCTAGTCATATTACCTACTTCACAAAGCCACGATATTAATTCATGTCTATTATCATTGTCAATGACTTTGTTTTTTATCTTTGATATATTTTCTTTTATTATTTCGTTAAACACATTGGCCTTCGTGCCCCCATTTCCTAATACTCTTATAAATTGTGTATTTAACAATCCAGGTATTCTAGGAGCTGTAATTATATGGATTACCTCAAATGTTCTTAGATGTTCATCATTATTTCCAACGCTATGAGGTCTTAATTTATATTTAATTTGGCTTTTTCTGAGTTCTATCCATAAATCATGATTGTTAGCATCATGTGTTGGATTCAGATACCAAACTCCTTTAGAACCGCCAATTCTACCTTGAACTGCGGACGGTGTTTCCTCACAACCTAAAATAGTAGCAATTTTTTTCATTGCAGCCCATGATATTGCTGCGCAACCATCGGTTAAACAATGGCCATCTTTTGTGATGTCGTCGACATCGTAGTGAATTTCATTTGGTTTAAAAATGATTGTTGGTTTGGTATTAGAAAATCCTAATGACATTCGTGAATAGAATTTTGGGACCGTTAGATCGTAGTTAAGTTCAATTGGGATATTGAAATCAATCACTTCCCATATTGTTTGTGGTTTTAAACCAGGTCCACTCGTTGCAAAGTAATAAAATAATCCGTCTTTTGCATATAAAAGTTCATACTTTCTTCCAAATAAATTCAACGGGTATAATAATTGTGATTGAAGTTCCTTATCAACCTTATCCGTTTCAACATGCACATGCAAGAATCTACTCGAAGAGTATAACCTGTAATATCTTTTTGAACCTCCAATTTTTGGTGGGTTTAAAAATAAAATTAATTTTGATTTGGATGGAACTACCTTTGCACTAAATAGGATACTTGAAGAATTAACCCCAAGTTGTTCTTTCTCCCATAACTTCCACACATTCTGATTTCGTGGAAGCAATTCACCTATATTTGGAAACTTATCAACACTCTGGCTGTTAAAATATAGTAAACAAATCTCTCTAAAGTATTCACTTAATCTAAAACTTCTACATCTAGTTTTAATGTTCTCCCATATGGAATTATCTGGAACAATCGGACCGAGAGGTTTTAGTATTCTTAGAATTTCGTAAATTGATATGAAGGGCAACTTTTGTAGATATTGTTGATATTCCTGAGGAATATCTGTTGATGTATGATCAGGGGTAACCCATGGATTTGTTTCAATTTTTTCTAAATGTGATTTTTTAGAACGACCATTTATATTATCGTCAGAATCTATATGATCAAACAATGCAATTTGAGTCCATGTTTGGTTTAATTCTTCAGTAAGTCTATTCTGCAAATTTACAATATCATTTTTTTTTCTTATTTCCGTATAGTTTAATTTACACTTTGTTACAAATTTTATAACAACTTCTTCTAAACTTTTTACATCTAAAACTGCGATTTTTTTCATCATTCTATTATGTTGTTCTGTAACAAAAAATCTTTTGTTGTCGAGACGTTGATATAAACTTCTTGCGAATATTTCCAAGCCATTTTGTAATTTTTTAAGTAATAATACATTATCGGTCTCATATCTATTATTAAAGGATTGTTTATAAATAGAATTGACTGATTTCATAATATTTACTATACAGTTTATTTTTTTTTAAAAAAAAATCGTAATAAATTTTCTTTAAAAAATTAATTTTATAAAAAAAAAATTCTTTAAAATAATTTAATTATCACAGGCATTTTTATCAAAAAAAGATGCAAACAAAGAAAATGTTAATCGAGTAAAATCTAACGAACGATTTTACATATAAAAAGAAAATCTTACTACAAAAGGTATAATTATATTTATTTTGGGGAATGGTTTCTGGAAGAGACGACTATGTAAATTTTTTAAATTTGCATATACTAATAATACCTTAAAAAAAAATGCCTCTCTTTTTTACAAATATAATTATCCGAGGTCCTGTATTAATATTAATATGATACTATTGATACTATTTATTATGTGATGACATTTGAAAATCTACGTTCATTTGACCAAAAGAGTCTTCATTTGTAATAATATTAATGGAATGACAAGCAGAAAACATACGGAAAAGCGCTCTTTCAGAGAGGTAAAGCAACAAAGTAATAGAGCCCTTTTTCCAAAAAATTTATTGGTGAAGTGATGTTTATCATTATTACGTATGAAAAAACCAAATTTGATAATTTTCCAGCGCCAATGATGATTATTTCTAAATTTAGTCTAACTAATTACACAAAAATCATGTGATTTTATGAATTAAAAAAATTTTTGGAACTGTATAGAGCTTCCGTACCATCTATTTTATATTTTTTTTATTTAACAATGCCCACGAAAACTATTCATTACTGCTGTAGTTTGGTGAGTTTTTTATAAAAGACCTTATTAAAAAATGCAATGCTTAGAAGTCCATCTTTTTTAAAATAACAAGAGTAGATATCCGCGTTCATACTACCGTACAACCATCCGCTATTTATCTTTAAAATTCATCCAGCCGTCGCTATCACACAAAAAATACATTTGTGAGGTGAATGGATGATCCAATAAAATATTTAACATTAAATTATTAATTAAAAGGATAGCAATGGCAATAATTCAAAAAGATTAATTAATACGCGTGTCGTGAGATACATGTAGGTTGGATATTTAGATGTGAAATTCTGTTTGGCTGATTTAAACATGTCTCTGTCACTCCCTCTTGATGATTCTTTTTTGAATAGATAACTATCATTCAAGCGATTGGATAACGTTAAATGAGGTGCCTGATTTGCATGACCTGCTAATTGCCCCTCTGTTTGGTAGTTTTTCTTCCCCTTGTAAAGAGAAGGTCGTGCAAAGAGAAGCACTTTATCGTCAAAAAAATATTTATAATCCATTCACTGGCGACTTTGAGAATAGACAAATATATGTGGCGATGAGTAGAGCCAGTGATTGTATTTCATTTAAAAATTTAATATTCAAATTTTGAGTGACTTATATCAATAAAATTTGAATTATCACTTTAAAATATTAATATGACGTGTTATTTTATTTAAGAAAAATAAAATTTAGAATCCAACTTATTTCTTTTTGGAGTGAATGTGATTGTTCACATCAGAACGAAGCCTTTCGATAGGTACTAAATACTGGTGTACTAATGAAGATAGAATTGGGTATTCAGCTTTTTTATCTTTCTACCAATGATTGGTTTTTTGCTTTCTTTTCTATAATTTGAAGAGCCAGAGCTTGAACTGTTATCTGACATTTGATATCTAAAAAATTTTATTTGGTGATGATAAAGCCCCCAAGTAATAATTATATGAAAGTTGGAGTTTTCTGATACGAAGCACGAGGAATCCAGAGAAAGATGAGAATAAGTCTAGCCGATTTATAACACCCATGGAATATACAATTCCCAGTCAGTAAAGAATTAAAATATTTACAATCTGGAAAGTGACAAGATTTCTAATTAGTATTTTTTATTCTTAATAATTCCATACATATCTTTTATTTGCAGAATAAATCTGAAAAAATGGTATCAATATCCACATAATTAATAATATACTCTTGTTGTTACAAAATTAATTAATAATAAATAAAATTCTTTCATTAGTCTCTTACTGTGTTGGTTATGTGTTTGAATTCGAAATTATTCATGAACACAATAACAGAATTATTGTAAACACAACTATTATAGTCAATACCATGCTTCAAATCTTGCACACGATCTTTGTCTATAAGAAAAGACCATTTGATATGTAATTTTATTGAATATTTAGACAAGATAAATTGAATTTAGACCAAGTCCCTAACTAGTACTGATAAAGGATTTAGTCAGCACAATGGTTTCTCATAATGATATTGAAACCATAAACATACTAAGTTCTCTTTAACCCCTTGTGATTTTCTTGTTATGTTAATGTTCACCTTGTCTAATTTTGTTGCAGCAGCCCCATTTCAAATTTTTTTGTCACTTGTTTTACGCAACGAGTCTCGATTTAACGGATTTTAACTAGTACAAATTTAGAAACCATCTGTAGAAATATCCAATCAAATTCTTTTTTTTGCAGTTACTTTCTAAATTTGTACTAGTTAAACATTCATTAAATCGAGACTCGTATGGAATCGTACTACACTACAAAATTCCCGAATTTGGTTAGAACGCGTCGAATTCCTTTTTTTTATTTCATATATACTTCATTCAATATATTATGTTTGTAAAAAAGAGATTTCTAGAGGTCTCAAAAAACCATCATTCATCATATAAAAATTTCTAAAGTTAGTAAAGGTCGGTAAAAATAGGTTACACTAGTATTAGTAGTGTAGAATTTGAGCCATCAATTACCACGTGATTCTCCCTATTCTAAAATTTGATGTCTTCGATGGATAACTACACAGAACCTTCTGCTTGTTGGTATTGCATGCAATATATTAAACTCTTTATACTTTGGCTCTTTTATAGATAGTTTGATTTTTTCTTACTGTTGAATTTTATCAGGTTTCATGCTATTGATGTTCCAACCAAACCACCAATCAAAAAACCAAATGCTGCTTCAAACAATAATAACATCAGTGACAACAATGTTACAAGCCCACCAAAACAAAAAATACCGGCAACTTGGGTTGCCTTCTCGAAACGTGATTCTGTCGCCTTAGAAAATGCTTACAAGTCTGGTAAACAAGGTGTTAAAGTACCTTGTAATGAAGATTATTTATTTGAAGTAGACATAGATAAAAGAGAACTTTCTCCCGTAAGAATTTAGTAGTGGCGTTATTAGCATTAGTTTAATAACAGCATTAATAATAATAATAAATATTTTAATAATGTTTCAGGTTTATTGGGCTGGCCCTAGCTATGAAGTGAAACGTGCTACTTGGTTTATATGGGAAGGCGGCAAATTTATCCCATGTGATGAAAATTTGGCAGCTCAGATTGAAGAAGGATACAAGTAAATTATCATAATATATTGTTGATTCAAAGCTATTCATTTATTCATTTATATATACAATAAATTTTGATTAATAAATTTCGATTATCAATTAAAGAAAACATCGAGCTTGGATACAGCCACCACCTGAGTCAGATCTAACTAATTCGTCTTCACCGCAATCAGAAATCATCCAAGAAAAAAGTTGGCCTTTACTTGGGAGATATTTATCACAATATGTTGTTTATACAAATCCTACAACTGCTTGGTTGTTAAGGTAAAAAAAAAAAAAATCCAGTAATAATTTTACTTTAATCCTATTGAAATTTTATGTATTAACACTTTTTTTTTGGTTATCCATTAGTGATGATATGGCAGGAAAATTAACTAAAACTTTCTATTCAAAACTCACAAACAACTTACATTTGGGTGGTATACGATTGTTAAGAGGTTTTAATGAAGTTGAAAATTTCTTTCAGAAAAAAAATAGCGAGGATATCTCTACAAGTACCACTACCGATAATAAAAAAGATAGAGATATAAGTCAAGACGTTGGTGAAAGTTATGATTATGAGAAGGAGGAATGTGAGGATGAAGTGAGAGTTATTGACCATTTGATACTGGTTATTCATGGGTACATTATTTATAATAGGAATATGATAAATGATAGAATATTATATGACAACTTATTGTTTAAATTATTAATTAATCTTCTATATCTTATAAAATTGCATTCCTTAGTATTGGACAAAAATTAAGCGAGAGAATGGAATCAATTAACTTTGTTAACGGTAAAATTTATTTACAATAATTAATTTATGCAATATGCAATTATTGTTTCTTGTTTGCGCTCTTTTCTCTCTAAAATATAAATATATCCATATTTTAGACGTTAATGTATTTCGAAAGACTATAAGGAAAACATTTTCAAATGTTAATAATCCGTCTGAAGCCAACTATAAATCATATTCTAAAAGCAGATTCGGAAAAGGTGTTCAAGTCTTGCCTATCCAATGGCGTCAAGAAATAAAGGTATTTAATTTGTTTTTAGTGAGCAATATATTTGATTGATGGTTTGAATAAATTTTTTTCGGAAAAAAATGAAAATAGTTTGGAGTGGCTTCAGAAGATGAAAACGTTCAGAGAGATTTAGGTATACCTGAAATTGAAGAAGGTCAGACAACACTTGATGAAATTACTCTGGAAGGTGTACCAACCTTAAGAAATTTAATTTCTGATGTATTAATGGACGGTAATCTATTATGCACAGTTGTGTTGTTTGTCAAAAAAAATTAGTTACTTCTCATTTTATTTATTATAATCTTATTTATTTATTCCAGTATTGTTATATATGACACCAAGATATCGTGAAATGATGATTAACATAGTTACAAGAGAAGCAAATAGAGTCTACAATCTTTTTATAGAACGTAATCCCAAATTTTTAGAAAATAATGGCAAAGTTTCAATATATGGGCATTCACTTGGTTCAGTATTAGCATTTGATATACTGTGTCATCAACCTCCAATAGATCCATCAACTCCGTCGGGAATATTTGACGGAAAGAATTTCAACTATTTACATAAAGATTCCATCAAATTAGATTTTGACGTTAAAAATTTTTTTGCGGTAGGATCTCCTATTGGACTATTTTTGTTGCTAAAAGGGTTAAAAATCTCATCAAGAACGGATAGCGA